ACCTCTCAGCTTCCGCATTGTGGAGCCTCATTCTTTCCACAGGGCCACAGCACTCAGCCACAATAGCTATCGCTATAATAATAGGCCAGTTGCCATGAATGGCATTTACATACTGCCCTGCCAAATAATACTGTTAGACGAACATTGAGTGCGAGCCATTCCCACCTACTTGAAGCTGCCACTGTGTAATTTAAGGCATGGAATTTTGAAAACCCAAAATGTCAGTAACCCATGGTATTGCATTACTCCTCCATTAAACCATTCCAACAGTAAAACTGACAATCAAGTGCTAAAATTCAGACGTAAGGTTAGATAACCATTTACAAGAGGCATTTTTTCTTTTGGAAAAGGTGATTGAATTTTTGTATGCAAAGCTGTTATTATATTGCTTTTATATCAAATTTGGCTTCATTAATTATCTTACTTGCCATCAAATCAAATTGTCTTCAGTTCAGTTGGATTAAAAGTAAGGCTGGGCTTGAGCCAGACAATAAATACCTGCACTACTGAAGATACATTGGATATTGGATGGACTGTTTACTCTGAATTCAGGTGTTTTTAGTGCAATTGTCACAGGTGGACAAAATAAAGTCTCCAGCTACGCAGTCTGCCTGTACAAACACATGTGACATATGGGTCGTTCTTAAGAGGTTGCTAATTTTAAGCGGATGCCATCATTGCAACCAGTTTGTGAAATTTCTTCTCTCCTAGATATTTCACGATCAGCTGTAAATGGTACCATTGCAAAGTGGAAGCATTTAGCAACCACAGCAACTCAGCCACGAAATGGCAGCCCACATAAAGTTACAGAGCGTGGTCGCCAAGTGCTGAGACACATGGTGCATAAAAGTCGCCAACTCTCCGCTGACTCAATAACTGCAGGGTTCAAAATCTCCTCTGGCATTAACATCAGCACCAACGCCATGCTCCAGGAGCTTCATGGTACAGGTTTCCATGGTCGAGCACCTCCTCTGGCTGCAATGTGTCTCAATATTTATTTTAGATTTATAGTGGGGGTTTTTTTTGTCTTTATTTAATAGTTCAGGAGTGAAGACTAGACAGGAGGCTGGACTCAAACCTAAGTGCTCCATTTTAGCCACAGGGCATATGGGTGCCTGCTCAAACAGTGAGCTAAATTGGTGCCCCGTACCTGAGTACTTTTGTCCATATAGTTTATTAAGTACTGAGTCAATATTGTACATGAAGAAGAAATCATCAAAGTGGTTCTAGGCTATCAAGATCTGGGGCAGGAAATAATGTTAATTAGAGATTTATGGGTTTCTGACAAGAAAAAAAGATGTTATAAGACATCTTGGCTAAAGTGCTTTTAGATGCTTTCATAGTGAGGGTATAGGGTATAAAATATCTGGCACTTAGTTAGCTTTTAGTATTGAATGAGAAATGAAACACTTAAGACTACCTTGACATGGAGGACTGAGATTCTTCTGGCACCTTGAAGATGAATTAAAAAGGTATTTTTTATTACTTTTTCCAAGTATGGAGCTTGATTTGTAGCCAGATTATTATATTAATCCTTTTGTTTTACATTAAATTTGGAAGTTGTGCCAAATATCTGATTATAGTTCACTAACCTTCCCAGAACTGTACAGTAAAAGCTTAGGTAAAAACTGGTTGTCATGTTATTTCTTCTGTTATGACAGTTACCTCATCACTGCTTTATCTCTCTCTCCACTCTTTATCACAATCATTTCTATTTCAGGAAGTTGTGTATGGTATCCGGTAGTTTGTAGACACTCTTGCAAAGACATTAGCACTCCCTGGAAACACTCCCTTGTCCCATTGAAACTAGTAAAAGAAACCCTCCAGAATTCCCAAAACAGCCCCATCATACAACAGTATTAAGTCATATGCTTGCTTAGCGCATATCCAAAAATACATCATTTGCACACCGACTTTTATGACAATCTCCCGTGTTCCCAAGGTGAAAGGAAACACTTCATTCCTTCCATGTGTCACTTCCTGCTCAGTAGAAAATTCCCACCGGTGGGACTGGAATTTCCAACAAAGCCAGTTGGTCAAGGAGTTCATGATTAAAAAGGAAAATGTTCAATTTCAAAAGGCCTGAAGGATGCCATCACTGGATTTGTTGAACTTAACTGGATAAAAATTATAGCCCTTCTTTTGAAACATTCTTAGTTAACTGAGGTATGTGGCGTTTTTTCTTTTTTTTTATTACAATATGTGAGCCTAAGTGTTCTTCTTTGGTTTCATTTCTCACCCCAAAACATACTGCTTCAGCATAAAATATGCTGCAAGTTAAGTGTCATGCTGTAAGGTAGGTTTTGAATGATGGATTCACTGCTTCAAGCCTTAAGCAACACAATCTGAAACAGTGACTTTCAGTTTGCTGTCCACACTAGCTCAAGCATCACGTCACACAAACTGGATCTGTCAGGACAGAAATTGTGGAATATACACTGTTTCTAAAATATCTCATGAACAATCAGCAATGTCACGTTGGCAAATTGAATCAGAATACAGAAAGAACGAAACAAAGAAAGAGTGAGTTCTTTATGTGACTCTAGGGAGTGGATGTTTCCTCTTGTAAAGCACAGAAGGTTCCACCTGAGCGTGACAATAACGTGGCCCTCACTTGGAGGTTTCCAGCTGTCCGCGTTTACTTCATAAAATGAGATGCCAGAGAACATTTTTAGACTTCAGTAAGGAAGAAAAGAAGGACTGGAAAAGATGTAAAGAGAGATGGAGAGAAGAGATAAACAGAGAGAAAAAAAGCATGAGGAAGACAGATTTGCCGCTCTCATATTACCCTCACGCAAAGCCCTCCTATCATGCATGTCTGTGTTTGTAGAAATTCCTGTAGCTGTTGGTTCCTCTCACTCCAACTTCGTATTTTCTTATTTTAATCATAGCAAGACCTGAGCTGATAGCCACACTGTTAAAAGGTTGCCATAGAGTTCTACCTGTGGTGCTGAAAACATGAAATTTGATCTGTCTATGAATTTAAATATACAACAAGCCACAATCTCTGGTTAGTTTTTCGGATATACAAAATAACAGAATGTAGACACAAGGACAATATGGACCTGATGCTTTTTCTAAGATATCTTAAAGCCTATCATCACACTTCTATGGTCACTAACCAAAGACACCATATTGGCTGTGGGGGGGGGCTGTAGCTCAGGTAGTAGAGCAGGTCATCCACTGATCGGAAGGTTCGATTCCTGGCTTCCCCTAGTCTACATGCCAAATATCCTTGGGCAAAATACTAACCCCAAATGCCTCTCCGATGCATCCATCGGAGTATGAATGTGTGTGAATGTTAGCTATGAAGCACTTAGAAAGTGTGCTTGTGTGAATGGGTAAATACACAAGTTGTGTAAAGCGCTTTGAGTGCTCAGATGAGTAGAAAAGCGCTATATAAGAACCAGTTCATTTAGTCCAACGGACTGTCCAACCAGGCTGTGCTTTCAAACATCAGCCAACTTTTTCTGAAGCCAGTATGACTTGCTCTGATTCAGCTGGATGACTTCTTTCCTTTGCAGTATCAAGCATTGCAGCATATTTTTTCCATGTGGGAGTTTTCTTTTTGAACTTTTGTATCCTGCATGGGAGTGCTTTGATTCAGTATTGAGTTTTTATTTAGTTAGATTAAGGCATTAAAACTACTTGCTTGAGTTGAATATAATGGTTTGGATTAAAAGCTATGACACTTTGAGTAGGAGGGTGCGCTCCAACGTGATGTCAGGGAGGTTCTGACTAACACCATACATATAAAACCTTCTGAGTTGCCTTATCTCAGATCTTTCAAGATGGATGGAATTAAAGTGGAAAATTGTTCTTTGGTGACAAATTAAAATGTTAGAAAAATCAGCGTATCAGTGCAGTTCTAAAGCCTCATTCATGATGGTATGGAGGTGCATGATCACATTTGTGAAAGCACATATGGCATAGGGCAACATGTGCTGCCATTCAGGCAACATCTTCAAGGAAAGACCGCTTATTTGAGCAAGAGAATGCCAAACCAAATTCTGGGTGTGTTCCAACAATGTGGCTCATTAGTAAAACAGTCTGGGCGTTTCATTGGCCTGCCTGCAGTCCAGACCGGTCACTCACCGAAAACATTTAACGCATCAGGAAATGTAACTGAGAAATTATTTAATTAGGTTTTAGGTTAGATTTACCAAGCAAACCAACCTTTTGGAAAGTCTATTTCCAATAAACTATCAAAATCCTAGATAAAGAAATTAGAATAGAACCAAAACCCAAGCTGATAAATTGCATCCGTAACTACTCTTACCCCAAAAACAACACTTTTTTGTAATATACGAGACACTCCATCATGAGAGGGCAGATAGATTTCACTTCGGCTCTTCGTATGCCTGTCCCACCCTTTTAAGCACGGATATGCTGCCACAACGAGGGCTGAGACAGATCAATCGCAACTCCATAACTACAACAACACAATACTTGACGAATGGACATCTCTCACATATCCGAAGCACAATATTCCCATTGTCTGTCTGCCTGAGTCACACAATATCCATACTCACAGCTTATGTGCGCATACACTCACACACCTCCTGTTTCCTCCATGCTCAGAAACCTGCTAGCCTGCCAGCAATGGAAAACTTGGAAAAGATCATCTGCTAGAGTTCATCATGCCTTGAATGTCCTTTTGGCAGCTCATACATTTGGAGAACAATCAAGATACTATTTCAAAACTATTCCAGTGAACAGTGGGATGCATTATCTCATTTATAATCATGTGAATGATAGCACACATGCAATTTCAAGATTGAGTGTTGTGCCTGTTTCCATGGATTCTGTCACCGAGGAAAATTGCGTCTCACACCCAGGGAACTGTACTTCAAAGTCATGATGCAGTTACAGCCATCGCTCTGGTTGGCAGGATGATAAATTCAACGAGAATTCTGACTGCATCCCACCTCATGTGAATTCAAATCTTAAGAAATGCATGTGACTTGTGCTTGGGGAAATCCACTGTAAACAGTGGTTACCTGTGAGTCGGGCTCCATGTAAGGGCTTGTCTTGCCATCTTCACTAACTGTTGGTGACCACACTCTGTCTCCCGATCCTGATCTGAAAGACAATACCCATGAGAGAGAGAGAAAAAGAGAGTCTCAGATAAATCCAATGCCATCTGACACCCAAGCTGAAGCAATGATTTCTGCTGAGAGTATGGATTTTTCTTTGCTGACATCTTTTTATTTATTTTTTTCCAAGGAACCTATAAAGTATTTGTAAATGTCTGAAAATGACTCCAGAAAAATGAAAGTAGTCTGTATGCTCTAATCGTTTTAGAATTGATGTAAGATGGGAAAGATGTCAGCTTTAGGATCACGCAAAATCCCATAACTGTTACTGAATATTAGCAGTGCAAGATGCCTCTGTGCCAAAACACTCACAGTACTCAAGGTAAAGTCTGAGCATGAACATGCATGTATATGTGGATTTCTATGTATAGTTGGCAGCTTTCACATTTTTAATGGGATGAAGCTACTTTCCTCCCACTGATACCAAGATAATGTCATCATCATTATATCATAAATCCACTGTTTGAACTATCACTGGAAGAGCACATTGTATCTTGGGCTGTGGATTTGTCATAAGTAGCGATAGCTGAATTACTGGAATCTGAGGCTTACCCCTCTCATGTTTAGATTGTCAGTAATTGACTCCAGTTGCATATTCTTACATAAAAGTAAAAGGACTTACTGTCTGACAGCAATGATAAAGCACATTACTTATAGCACTGCTGAATGGGCCTCTATGAAAGCACACGGTAAGCAGGGGCACACAGCAATTTTTCTTTTTTTGAAAGACCCAAAATAAAATACTCTGGTGAAAATAAGGGCGTGCAACTTATCTTTCCAGCTGATAAATTGGTGCTATTCATTTCCAACGGCATTAGTAATGGCTCACTAGGAATGCTATTTAACTTTCAAGTTTCACATTCAACTAGAGGAAGTTTTCCGGTCACATAAAAGAATCAAGGGGAATTCTTTGGTTCATCTGGCTTTTGTTGCTATAGTGTTGGCCGTCAAGTGGGAAAACATCCCACCTCCAAAGCAGTAACACCCGGACATGACGCTGAAGGACAGCAGTGTGTGTGTGTCTCTCTGTGTGTGTGTGTGTGTGTGTGTGCTTTTCTTCACTTTCCTATTCATCTGCAAAGACATAAAAACCATTAACAGAAGTAGTGCGAGTGCATGAATGCATTGTTGACCCCCACAGGGGGGAGGGTTGACGTCTAAAGAGGTGAGGTCATTGGGCTGGCAGCTGGCACATCATTGCATGAGCTGAGCCAATGCTTCAGATATGAAACATGGAGGTGTTGCTATCAAGGATGCTCTTATGAGGCGCCGAGTGTCTGCAGATGGACAAGCGCTACTGCGTAGGATGAACCCTGCACCCCCCCTCCTCCACCAATTCCTCCACGTTTCAGAAATTGAAAGCCTTCATGTATCCAGAATGTTTGGTTGGGATGGCTACCATACAAACACCCTATTGAAAGGAGTTCAGTCTGAAGTGGCCTATTTAAATTGGTATTTGGTGAAAACCAAAGACAAGGAATTTACCGAACATCCATCTTAACAGTTTTGAATGCAGAGGCGTAAGTGGAAAGTATGAGAGGCAGACAGTGGTCATTATACTAGAGGTCACTCTGGAGAGGGATGTCAAAATCATGTAACCATCTAGTTAAAAAATATGCACTGCACTTGAAACAAAACTGTGCCACAGCTGTCGTTTTGTCTTCTGGAAACAATTTTGGCAATGTCAAATGCAACATAATGTATGTTATGTAATATAAAAAATAGCCACACAATCTGTTGCAAACAAGTGTGATGTGATGAGGACACCCAGATTACCCAGGGCCATGAGGATCCTACATCCAAAAAACTTCTGCTAAACATTCATTAATTAGTCGATTGTCTCTCTAACTCTAACTTTCCACTTGATTGTGCGTCTGTCTGATCCAGGCCTGGATAGTAAAATGTGTCTGGAAATATTCTTTGAAATAAACTCATCGTCACAACAGCACCATGATGTCAGAGGATAGGGGTGAATACTCTTACCTCTAATATATCAACTTCAATACAAAGGCAAAGAATTTTTAGATCCCATGGATTTATTTTCATAGGATTAGAATTTAAAAAGAAAACATGAAACACAAAATCCCCCTAAAAATGAAGATTTAGATGTTAGATAAAAATTCATGATAAAAAGAGATAAAAGTGAAAGAGAAAAAAATGAAAGAAAGGCGGAAATGGAAACACACAGAAACCAGAACATCAAAAAAAAAAGAGTCATCACAATGATTTTCCTATTCTTTCCTATGATCATATTTTCCCTTGCCTGACCTCCCCCTGCCAGGTTTAATTTCCTGATTGGAGAGATCTGGATCTTGGAACAGCAGATGAGTTTACTTTGGCTGCACATGACCACAATGTTCAAAAAGGAGCATGGGGCAGACGGCTGCAAACCCTCAAATTAAGACGGGGCTGATAACTGATCATTTCAGGGTTCACTTAGAGTCCTACTCCATTATCAAAGCCATCTGAAAAAGGACAATTTTAAGTTGTATTGGTCATCACTGGACCTGCCCGTATGTCCTTTTTCTGTGCAAGGACTTAAGTGGGGGTTGTTTCTGTAGCATTTAAGACGAGGCAATAACTGTCTAAAGTGCAGCTTTAGAGGTCTCATTGGCAGATCTTAATGGGACACTTCCAAAAAAATCTCCATCTGTGCGCCGACAAGATCAATGGAAGAGAGGGAAAGGGAGGAACAATCGTCCCTTCGACCTCTTGTGCAACACAGTCTCCCAAACTCCACTGATGTTACAGTTGTAACCACAAAAATGGAGACCTTTGGAGAGTGTGAGAGGAATGATGAGATGAAGAAACAGGAGAAAACAGCCCTGGTAGTGGAGGGGTGTAGACAAGTTGGTTCCTTTGGAGGTTTCTTTTTGTTTTTGTCCCTGCTGGAGTCCAGTGCTCCTTTGGTCCCATGCAGCCTTGTGCATAATTCTTCATCTGTGAATCACGGGTCATTAAGTCAAAGTGAGAAGGAAGGGGCAAATTCTACACCAAAGGGACCTCACTCTCTGTCTTTTCTCTGCCTGATTTCTCTGTTTGAATTCAAATCCTCTTTCTTGTTTTGGTTTATTCTTCAGATCATGATCAGAATTAAATATATACATCTAATTGCATCTGTAGGGCTGAGATATGCACTAATACTAAATGCGTTACCCATCTTATTCCCCTAATTATAGCCTTATATGACACCATTGCATGTCTAACCACACCCAAAAGCATCAAAGCATGAGTGGAAGTCATTGATGGTGCATGTCTAGTGTCAAGTCATGTCAAGTATTGAAACACAAGATTAAAAAAACCTTTGTAACTTGGCCCTGGAATTTTCTGCAGCTATGTCAATAAAAAGAAGATCAACAGAATGTATTTATGATTCTCTGTATAAAGTATTTTCTCAGTAACCAGGATATTTTTCTTTCAGCTGGTGCTGCAACTTTTCTGTCACAAGTGAAACTGAATTGACCACAATTGTTGGAAGTGGAAGCCAAACCCCAGAGATGAACGAGCTGAAACTATATACACATTTGGAAATGCTGCTTTTATGTTATTTGAAAGAACTGACTTTTAAAGGTCTAAACCATCAGTGGTGCAACTTTTCTTCGCACCTGGACCTATTTCTAACACTGACAGTTCAAAATAAGTGCAACAGGCCATATATATTTCAGATGTTTTACAATAGTAAAACAAGACAGTCAGAATTACACATGCAGCCCAGGAATCATGACTCATTTTTCAGCACATTTAACTTGCCATCCCAGCACGACTCTTTCCGAATAGCCTGACCAATAGTGGAAAACACAAATCCCAACCACCATCATCTGTTTCCCAGGCATCTGAAGAGAAAGTGTTCTCTCCAATAAGCTCTGGCAAAAAGAGGGAAACTGCAGGGAGAAGAAGGCTCCTTGGAAGCGACAGAGAAGGAAAAAACAAAGTGAAGAAATAAAAAGAAAAGTGGTTTAGCTGAATGGGATTTAGGTTTGGAGAGGGAGATAACAGCATGGTAACAAGAGGTCATGGACAAGGATGGTAAGATGTGGAGAGGTTAAAAGAAGAATGAGCATGATTTTCTCATGTTCATTTTTCCAGGAGAAGCTTTCTTCCACAGCTGGTTCATGTATTCACAGATTCTATTTATGTCTGGTCAAAGCAGACATGACAAACTCCAAAATGGGCCTCATGAGTCAGCCAGGTCCTCTGACGTTACATGAACTTGGACACTGCGTGTCTGTGGAGGCGATCTAAGCCATTTTTCCTTTACCCTGAGATCACACGACTCCATATGAACACAAGGAACTGAGAAAAACTTGCAAGGGTGTTTTGCCTCACAGCAGAGCGTTGACAGGCCTGCTGGAAAATGGAAAGCTGCGTGTAAGTGTTGACCTCGAATTACCTTCCTTGCTTCCTCGTCCACGTATTACTTTTTTTTAAATTCCTAATTTTCCCTCTGTTCTTTTTTCTTCTCACCACTTTGTCCACTTCATTCAGTCTCAATAATCTTTCCTCCCGTTTAACTGATAGTTCTGCCAATATGATGCCAGAAATACACACAAGAGCACACATTAATTTTAGGCTACATTCCATTGCAGTGTAATTCTTTTCTTCAGTGGGTAGATGGCTCAAAACATCTCAGTAAAGTATATTGCAGTGATGTAATAAATGTGGACACATCCAGAATATGGGGGCTGAATGAAAGTTTTGATAAGTATGAAAATTATGTAAAACATTCGCTTGCTAAAGCCTTCATGGTAATCATCTTGATACAGCTCGACAACAGTGAGAGATTTGTCTGAGCCAGTGCTTTCCACCACCATCCAGGCAAAGTAAGGTCTGGGTTTAAATCTGCCACTTTAAAACATTAATCTTGTATGCTTGAAAGTTACACTTAACCAGTAGCCATTTTAAGGAGTCTCTTACAAGAATTCTTTAAGAATGAGAAACTAAGTAACTAGTACAATGAAGAACCAAGTGCATATTTATAACATGAGCAGGTTTGACCAAACTGTAGTACTTGACACCCTTGGAATATACAGACAAGCAGCCATAAGTGAAACTCTTTTGAAATTAATTTTTATGCATATGTTAAAATCTACATAAAATTTTGTTTTTTTTAAGAACACATCCTTTCTAAGAGAACAGAGCTGCAGCACCCACTTGCTGTATGAAGAGAAAATAATGTAGACTATGCCAGTAAAACTACAGTGAAGCACGGTTAAACCTGTTAACATGCGAGAGTTGATGATTTAGCCCAAAGTAACTGATAAATATATCAGTGCTGAAAGGCTAAAACACAACTAAGCTATAAAATTTGCCAGGCTTGCTTTTATTTGTCAAGATTTTCCCCTTCAAGTTGGATTTCCAACTTGGAAAGTCGGAGTAACCTCAGCAATCCCGTCTTAACAATCGAAAGTGGCAGCTGTGAACGTAAATCATCACAAAACTGTCAAACTTTTCATCAGTGTTGCCAGTATTACATATTTGTGATTTGCTAAACAAGCTGTATGCGATGCACTGACCAGGTTCTAGCCATGAAAATGCTACATTTGTGTGCAAAAAACCCATTGTGATATATGAATGGTTCTACCTTGCCAAGAAGGAAAACTCATCCTGTTTTTTTCTGCTTTTCTGAGTCTTATTACTCTAACAAGCTCAACTCAGAAGTAATGCTACTCCCAACTCATTTGACTTCCGAGGTAAATGCAAAACCATTAGTTTTGTCGCCGTTAGGACAAATAAGGTGTTAAGAATTACATGATAATGACACTAAATGAAATCAGGAGATGTCCAAGGTTACCTGTAGCACATTTAGTTATACTTAAGGGAAACTAAGTTTAGTAATATTAAAAAAATATATATATAACAAATTACTATCTGCATTAAAAGTAGATATTAATCAAGATAAAAGCAGAAATTCAAACATTTAATTTACCACAAACTGTAAAGAAATTCTGCCCAACCAGCGCTTCTAATCTCTTTTCTATAATCACCCTTTAAATCTTATTTAGCTTTTCTGAGTCCCCAGAGGCACCTACCAAGAAACTCCCTAAAGCTGAGTGCTTTTAAAAAGGCTCCATAATAGAAATTGTGATAAATGGGGGTTAAGAAAGTTATAAATGTGAACACATTAGAAGGAACCGTTCTTGTGTTACACGAGACCTCAAGCTCAGATGCGCGCAGCGTACTGTAATTTTGGTTCACAGCAGACGTGTAGACTCATATATTTGTCCATCGGCAGCAGCACAAAATTACAGGTCTCCTGTTTCTCGTGACTGTTTGGAGTATTTTATGGAGAAGTCTTTTAATGAGGGCTAAGAATTGCTGTCCTCTAAAATATTATTTTCTAGTGAGTCAGCATGGGTTATTTGAGTCACTCCCATTTGCAGCTATTGACTCCAAAATGAATGGTTACAATTAAATAATCCCCAGTTATTTCTGTAGCCCACAACTGAGGAGTGTTTCCAATAAACAGAAAAGGTCCATATTTCAAATCTCTTGCAATAAATGACAGACATCTTTTACATATGAACATTACACCCCCACTGAAGGATACATTTTGACTAACCACTTTAACCTTTAACTTTCTTCACCAGCCAGAGAACAGGCTACCATGTGGCTGATTTTTATAGCTCACTAAATCTGGGATTTTTTTCAGTCCAATATTTGTGATTTGTTCTGTATTGTTTACTTTGATTGGTTTCTTAGTAGTTTTGGCAAAATGTCTAATTTTTGCCTGTTGTTTGTTTATTTGTTTTGTTTATTTTTTTAAAGACAGCGCTATTTTGTTTGTTGTCATAGTGACAGATGCTGCTTATTAACATGACGCCTTTTACAAAATTTTTCATGGGAAACAGTTGTGATGCACAAGCTCAGCACACATGAATAATTCATGCAATTATAGGTCTACTTTGAGGGAAATGAATAATGTAATAATCAGCTACCTCTCCAATGAGCCCCTCATCTTGTAATGAAACTGCAGCTTCATGAAGCAGTTGAATGATATTGTGAACCACCACGAGAGCCACCTTTTTAACCTACCAGTAGAGAAATGCATGGTGGGAAATGACAGCTTTCAGATAAAATATAAAAATAAAGAAAAAGAAAAAAAGAATTGCCAACTAAATAACTGATTGCAGTGTCATTCTCTCAGATGCAAAGGACAAAAGGAAAAAATCGGAAGTATAATTCTGGTTTTAGGTTCTCTGAGCTAAACTGTGTTTAAACTGTGTTTACCAGAAATACATAAAGCAAAAAGTACTGGTTGTCAAACAGCATCCTTGGAAGCGTAGAGGCAGTTCTCTCTTGTTCTCACTGATTCACTGCTCTTCTTTTTGGCTTTAACCTCCAAGCTTGTTGTTGCATCGTCTCTTTCTGTTTTTCAAATTCTCACTATCTTTTCCAGCCATCTTAACTTTTAACACCGCTTCTCGTCTCTTATCAAGTTTCTATCTCACAATCCTAAACTTTCACATGTTTTTTTTTACAGTATTTGTTCTTCTGCTGGAACCCCTATTGCCTCCACTTCACCAGCAGCTCATTTCAGCTCTGTGCACCGCAGCCAAGGGTGCATGCCTATCTCTCATACTTGCTTTGCCCTCCTCCTGTTCACCAGAAGTGCAGCTTACATTGTAATTATTTAACCAATAACAGCACAAAGGTCACATTCCAGCAGCTAGTCTCGTCCAGCCTCTTATTATATTGCTCTGTGTCCAAATGCTATCTTATCAGTTCAAGGGGGTATTAAGGAGGAATGATGAGCAAACATGGCTGTATCTTGTGGTTCACTTGTGGGTTTAATTTAAAAGTAAGTTTGTTAAAAACAGTCAACAAACAACAAAAATCTTGTAGCTCAAACCTTTTGCTTTTATAATAGATCTACAAAACTAAACTGAATTTAAGTTAAATTGATTCTGATACTCTTAAACAATGTGACACATTCATTTCAAATCATTTTAACCTCAATCCGACCAATTACAATGTTTAAGCACTACATCTATTTAAATTATGGTTAAATGCATTCTACAAAACATTGGGAATGTGTACAAAAAAAAAATTTCCTCTTATTTACTGCCACAAAAAAATGACAACTAAAATTTGATACCCACTGTAAACATCCTGTAGCTGGGCCAATGTGGTAAAACAAACAGAAAAAAGAAGGAGCATGAGGCAAAGATTCAACTAATACAATCTATTCTTCTGTATGCTGGGTCTCAGTCATCACTCTCAAATGCTCCTGCTGTTTATCAAGCTAAATGACTAAATTACTTCTTACTTCCTTAATTTGTTAAACACGTTTGGCTACTTTAGTGCACGTTTAAGCTGAATTTAGGAACATTAGGGTGCCAGTAAAACAGTGAGAGTGGCCTGTTTTTGCTCCCACACCTACAGATGATCTCTGTTAGTCTTTGTGCAGTATGCTATCCTCAAATAAATTTACAATCCCTTTGTGGACAAACCACTTAACGCTCAGTTGCTCAGCTTGATATATGGGTAGATGGTTCCTACTACAGGCTGTGGGGGTGGAGGAGGAGTTGTTATGCTAGAGTGGATACTGTAAAACACAAATACAGTACAGAAACAGAAAACAAATCTGAATTTAGAGTTTCTTTGTGTCTTTTCTGATCTGATGAGTCTTACTACTTCAGAAATAATTCTTGTTCACACTCCCATCTGCGAGTAACCATCATGTTTCTAACCAGACAAAGGGAAAGAGAGGGAGAGAGACTGCGTTGTCTTCTGCCCTAAAAGGAGAACGCTGAAGCACCAGTTGGCAGTTGTCACTTGTAACTGAGGCTGAAACCACACAGTGTTCTCCATCTGAGGGGATGGGATTTAGAGATTGCCAGATTCGCTCTGCACTTTCCAGTACTCTGGCAACCCAAAGCAACCATCTAACAGAATTGTGGGAAGTGACTGACATTTCAGATTTTCCTTGGTTTTAACCTCCAACCACCCCTGACCTACCCGTCTCCCACCCCACTCCTTCATTAAATGTTTAGATGGATAATCTTTTTTCTGCTATGTTGACAGAAACTTGTTGTTCTTGACCTTCACTTGAGGTCAGTTCATACATCTTCACATACCAGGTCGAAAACGATGATCATTTTCCAACTCACGAAGCGCACCAATGCACAATATCGACCCGAGAATACCATTTGAAAAGGTCACAGTTTGACTCACTGTTTGTACAAGCCTCATTGATTTTGACAGCGCTTTCTAGGTGAAGCGGCTCGATCATTTTAACTCTTGTAAACCCGTCACTTGTCACTGTAACTCGACGGTGCCAGGCAGAACAGACGAATCGCCAACATGTTTTTCTGGATGAGAGGCAATAAATGACCTGAGTCATACAAAAAAAATCTGTCAAGGTTTTCAACTCAATTTTCTTAATGAGCCTCAGAGCAAAACTCATGAGCTGACGGCTGATTAGAAAGCTCAGCATTTCTTGATATCCAATTATTCTGAACCTTAAAATTCCAGTGAGGTCACCCTTCATGGAAAATATGCTTAATGTACAGTGTACATTACAGCTAGCTGGCTAATAGTAAACTATTATTCAGCTGGTACAACAGCTGTGTACATAGTGTTTCTTCAAAGATTCGCTTTCTTTTCTTTTCTGGAATGTTTTGCGGCGCTAAATATAACCATTCCCCCAACTGAAAGAGTGTGATTACAGGTCAATTTATGGTTTAAACACACCAGTTTTCCGGTGAGGGTAGTCTCATGTTTCCATACCTGCTGATGCTGAGCGTAAGCTGCTGAGTGCAGGTTTTGATCTTGTTCTGAGCCTCCATGTGAGTCAGGTGTTCTGTCGCGTCACCGTTGATAGCCAGAATGGTGTCGCCTGGACACAGGTCACCTTGGGCTGCCTTGCTGCCAGGTGTCACCTAACAATATTCACACATACCGGATATGCACAGACACACACAACAATCCAAGCACACCCAAGAAAAGAAAAGAGAAAATAAAGAGCCATTATAAGTGGTTTCAAATTGTTGGTGAGAAAAAGAAAAAAAGAAAAAGAGGATCAGCCTGGGAGCGTCAACACAGAGAAGCCCGTCTTTGATTTATGTCACAGTGCCTGGGGCAGCGCCTTCAACAATGACACAGGTGAATAGTCTTCTCACTTTTAAAGGTGGTGAAATACCTGGAAGGAAGGGTAACACTTTATATACCCGGCCTTTTCAAATTCAGTAAATCCATATCAGGGGTTTTCATCAGAAAAGTTGCTAAGCCGTGTGTGTGGGTTGGGGGAATTTAATGAACTCCAGTTATGTAGCACCATCCATGCAATATAACCATCTATGTGCACAAAATGAAACAAATGGCTAAGAGTATTTGATTTGGTTCTTTATTCCCCCTTTTTTCATATGTCAAACAGCAGGCCAATAAGCAGATAATTTGGTGTATGCTACATTAACTAACCTAATGGTTGTAGCTTTTGCCAAAAAAAAAAAAAAGAAATTTCCAATACCTCACTGAGGCTATGCATGTGTAATTTTATAATCAACTCAAGTTGAAACAGTGAAGTTTCAAGTCTGGGGAGTATGTTACTTTTGCACCAGGCTTGCACATGAACCTTGAACAACAATGTATCTGTGTAATGTTAGACTCGTTTCCAGGCATCTGTGCAATAAGTTCTTTATATAATTAATGCATTTCCTTTTGTCTTTTTTATTTCTGCACAGCATGTCCCCACCTCTTTAATGTGGATTTTCTTTCAAGAGTTAGAGAGAGCAGGTTCTTCTCTGTGATCTCTCATTCCTAAAAACTCTCCTGGCCAGTGGATATTTGAGCCCCAACAGAGAGTAAGGGGGAGGGCAGTCACATGTGATATCAATTTTTCGTTATTACACATACACAAACATGTGCCTCTGACTGATATGGTTTTGTCTGACATTAATAAGAAGAAACTGCAGCTTATTTCCTCCGCAGTAAAACAAGTCCCAGTTATCCGGCAGGCTGCAGAGCAAAAAAAGTCTTTTATAGCAGTGAAACAAAAATCATGATGCAAAGTGAACAGTTGTCATCATGTCTCTAGTCTTTTTTGCATGTGTAATGTGCTGTGAACAGTGACCTGCATGGCTATTAGTTTGTCTGTATTTTCCCAGCCATTACATGTGAGATTCCTGCAGCTGGATCATCATTTGTGTAGTTGCACCATTTTGGGGGGAATATTAAGCAATAATATGTTACATTTTTATATCATCTGGACTTGCTTTTTCCAGTTGGTCACAGGGGCTGTACTCAACCAAGTAAAATCTTGGTTGACTGAAATCATTATTTCTCTTAAACCAAAAGATTGGTCCCTGGAGGGGGTGGAGAAATGGTCTGTTTCCTCTAAATTAACTAAAAGCAAAAAGCTACAGTGCATGACTGCACACTAGCCTGCTAGCCCTATTATCCTATAGAAATTATGAGGCAACCTAAAAAGCAGAAACCTGCTTTTCATTTATCAGGATAAGAAGATAAGGAAACTGATGGTTTTGGAGAGCATCCTGTTATTACTCCTGTACATCAAGTGTCTGTGACTAATCTTTGTTTCATCATGCGAGCTGGTAAGTGCATCACTCTTTGAGCTCATTCATCTTCATACCAGACTACTCTCTGCCTAACTCCACACCCTCTTATAATGTCTACTGCAATGACAGCTAAACCTTAAGATATACTGTCTCTGGAGGCTGAAAAACCATGATCTAACACATTTTCACAAGTACTTTTTAGTAATCTAATTAAAGCTAAATAAAGATATGATTGGTTGAAAGTCTGGAAAAATAAACAGAATCCAAAGAGAGCTGCATGTAAAAGCAGCTCTCTTGAAAGGCTCCTCCACTAACTGGGAGGAGCCTTTCAAGAGCAAAGGCATACAAGTTCACGCTCCACGAAGCACTAATAGCTGAGTCGTGTGGTTCAAATGTGGAATTCCTAATTTACAGCCTCTGACCGCCCAATGTCCCTCACTCAGTTCCGGTAAACTGTGGGGAGTATGAGTAGGTTTGTGTGTTTCGGTGAGTCCCTGGGAAATGCAAACCCACCTAAGCTTGCACTGTTTATAAGCTGCTTCTTGTAGAAGCCTGGCATAAACAACTGAGCAAGTGTAATCTAAGTTCTGTAAATTCAAGATAGATCCTTTCTAAGCAGCAGAGGCACAAACAAAGCTTTTCTTGGAGTTGGAAACATAATGGATTCTTGTTTGTCAGTGCCTGTTTTCACAGACACTAACTGGAGGTTATAGTTTGCCCCTGTCATTTAGCACAACCTCCCCTGTGAGAATGCTTGTCCGATGTTTGTGTGTGTCTTTGCTTTATGTCTGGATTGTGTCAAAGTGGAATGAAGGACATGCAATAGCAACAGAGTAACATCACCTCACCGTCAGGCCATGCAGCATAGCGAATTACTCCAATACATTTACTAGTACACCTAAAAACAAATACATATAGTAGTATGCCAAGCACCACAATAGCATGACTATGGAGTGACTAACAGAAAAAGATTCCCATCTGCAAGGAAATGTAAGGATGCTGTAGAGCTACACAGTTCACGCATGTTGTGCTATATTAACTCTGTGTGTGATGTAATTACGTAGATCTACAGAGCGTTAAAGTTTACATGATTGCGAAACAGCTTTTAAATAAGAAATGGATATTTTGTTTATCTATGTCATATCATTGTGGTCTTTTTACTCACAACAGCATACCACAAGTTAAGTGATCCATTTCCTATTGCTTCATATGTTGGCAGAAATAACAATAAAAAATGTAACTCAAGGATGAAAAGCATCAATCTCCTCAAAAAATGATGTGACCAAATTTGTTGTGAACAATGAAACGGGGTTTCTTGTACAATCTGGAGAGGGAGAAAAGACATCATTTAAACAAAATGACCTGACTTAGAGGCTTTATATCATTTGGTGTGAATTCAAATCTAATTTTCACCCAGTAAACCTACTTTCCTGTCCCACAGATATCTAAGGATTTCATTAAAAACAACAGCAATCGTGTTGTTTTTTTAGCTGCTAGAGTTTAGTTTCCGTAGATTATGCTAAATGCATCAATTAACTGTCATATAGGCTTTAGAAAGTTGGGTGAAGCCATTAGAAAGTGGAGTGTGTGACATATGGATCAAATGCAGGACATTCACCCAGGAGACTGAGGTTTATATTGCAAGTCAGACCAAAAATCAGTGTTGACATAGCATGATCGGGACTTCTTTTATTATTACAATTTTTCCTTTTCTTTCACAGGTTTGTAACTTACAGGCAACAAAACCACTTGGTTACATTTAGAAAGAAACCACAACACTAACCAACTGTTAGAACATTTCTGGTAAAGAATAATGTCACAGTCACATGAGTTATCTACAATGCTATCATCCTTAAAGGGGAAAGCTGAGCTAAGAAAAAACTGTTATGACCTCAATGGATTACTTTGACATATGTTGCTGCAATGAGGCTAGTGCTAAAACCAAGTCTACAAAAATCTGCATTATCTTAACAAAACCCTTCCTGCGTGGGGCTGTTAATGATGCATGGTTACCCACTACCCAGGTAGTGAGTGAACTGGAAATACATCAAATTGCTATTTGATTGAATCACAATCAAGTCATCGTATTTTTTTCCTCAGTATGTTTTTATTTATCATCTGTAAAGAAGAACTTAGATTTAACCTAAAAAAAGTGGTACGATATATGTCAAGTAGAGAGAAACTTGGCACTTGTTATTGCGGCAAGGTCACTTAAGGTGTTCAAGCATAAGACAGGCAGTCATGATGGCAGGGAAGCATCAACAGTGCATAAAGAAACTTTAGCAACTGGTTATTAGGCAATCTAAACATGCATCCCCATTCCCGTAAGAAGCTACTCCACAAACAGTGACACAGTTAAATGCTAACAGATACAGCGGTTAGCAAATGACAGCCTCATGTCACACAGAGTCATCATGTGGCACGCTGAGGTTTGGTGAGTATGCTGGAGTGCGGTTTCGCTGTGGACGTGTACTCGAGAGAAGCAATGAGGCTGAGAACACAGGAAAGAAAAGAGTCAATGTGTAAATATTTGATTATGTGTGTTTGCACATTACGCGCTGCATGTGCTGCATCAAAACTCATTCAAGTGTGACATCATCTTCATGATCAAGTAATAGGACAAGTTATATGTTATTTTTGTATTTTGTTTTCTCAAGGTAACACAGGGACTTTAAAATGTCCTTTGGTGTTTGTCTTAGTTCCTGAAAAGTTCCTATTTGCTCTGCAGTGATACTTAAAGCTGCAGTACGCAAAACTGTTTGGAGTGGGTGTCACAAATAATACCCTTTTATCATATTCTCATTCAAGTTCAGTCTTTGGAAAACTTACTTGGGCCAATCACAAGTCTTTTCAGACCAGGTAGTAGAATAAAGAAATAGACTAAAGATTCACAGATAATAAGGTGTGGTGGCCTACAGGAACCTACAGGATTACTGATCAGAGAGCTAGTACACAGACAATAGTTTACATAAGACTGCTGTATTGTTCCACCACCTTTTAAAAAGCTGTGTAATTAAGATGTGACTCACAATGAATTACAGCTATTTAAACACTGCTAAAGCAACATTTGTTTATTCTGGGAATTTTTAACCAGAGGTTTCTATCTAAATGTCTCCTCACCTGCAAATCACAAGATCGACACTTAAATGAGAAGAGCCTGTCATTTTCAGATGTTGTACTCGTGTATAAACTCCACAGAGAGACTGAGCTGGGTGGGAGCGCCGAGTTGCACATCTTAGCAACAGAGAGAATAATTTTCTGGCAGTGTCTCAGGCCTTTGTTGGACCTGAGATAAGAACCATGGTTATGACCTTGAAAAGCCAATACATCGCCTGGAGTGTGAGGCTCCAACTGGTTTGTGTTATTCACACTCAAACAAAGAGGCTCAATCTGCCAAGACCAATAAGCAACACTGAAGTCGATGATTAAAGATGCAGGGTTAGACTTAAATGAGAACCCAAGTAAATGGGAGTGCCCTGATGAAGTAATTACAGTTGCATTCAAGTGCATCTAGAATGGCAGAGACGTTCCAGTCAATCTGATTTGTAATCAGATTAGCAGAATAACTGACTGTTTTGTCTTCTGTTTTTTTGCACATGTGCTGTGCTTTCCGTGAAATTTCCTTTCGCCATGTGATGCTTGAACATGTTGTACAAGATCATGAGACCACCAGAAGATTCTTTTGCAAGTTTCGCAGCAAATACACTGAAACAAACATGTTTTCTGAGAATATGAGCAGTCGCCCAATTATTTCCCCCTAGAGAACACTTGAAGTCTAACTGCAGCATGGATATCATAATAACAACAATCACTGAAATCCACTTTCATACATCAGATAACCAGATGAACAGGAAGAACTTAGAAACCACCCAAGGACTTTCATTGTTCCCTCTGCCCTATACTGTTTCAAGAGCTCAGCAGCTTCACTGACAACAGGAAGTTCTTCAAGGGTGCCCATCTGTTATATTTCGCTCAGTTTGTTGTGGAAATGCAGCATCTGTAATTCTAGCCTAGAGAGAAAAAAAGGCTCCCAGACAGCAGCTTAAAGCTGATTATTATACACAGCAGTGTCTGAGAAATAACCCATGTGGCTGTAGGTTGCATGTCCTGTCTCTGTTATATGACAGATGTACAGTGAAAGCTCAGAGGGTGCAAATGGTGTTGAGGTTCTGTATGCACCGAAATTGCATTTGCTCTTAATTCATTTTCAGTAATTCCAGTGTCCTAATACAAGCAGAATAACAATTGTGGAATGACATGACTTGGTTGAGTCATTTAGTCCACTGAGACTAAAGATGTACTCGATCATATTCCAGAAAAACCAGCTGATTAAAGGATTGTGATAGTGTTGCAGAACGATTTTCTCTTTGTGCCCCTTATCTTGTAAAGTCCTGCAAACACCAGCCACAAAGACAGAAAGTGACTAGCTGCAGTTCATATTAGTTTTCCTGCGAGCGGACTATGATTTAACACCAACTCTAACCCATCTTTGACAGTCAGAATATGTCATTTTTATTGGTATTATAATCTTATCCCAGTCAGGAACAAATAATGATCACAAACTTTCCAAAAAAAGTTTAAGGCTGGATTAGGGTTATGGTTGCCTAACTTTAACCTATAAAGGCTTAGACATTAGAAGATTAAAGAGTCTTAACTTGGAGATCTGTATTTTTGTGACAACTAAAAGAAGAATTTGATGTGTGAATAACTGGCCTTTACATTCATAAACAAAAACTAAATCCCTACTGTGACTTGTCTGAAAACTTCATCTTGCAGAGGCCATGCAGCAGGTTGAGCAAAAAAGAAGCAACGCAGAGACACTGTGCACTGCTTGGATCATTATTCACCCAACGCTCGGTTGTGAATTCCTGTCCAGGAAGGTGACTGTTTTCCAGCTGGCAAATCTGACAAGTGTCCTGCGTCACCTTCTGTCTGGAAGTAACTTTAACAAAATGGCTAATATCACAGCTTTCACATTCAACATGTTCTCTTTAAATGCTTCTACAGAGATATCAAGGAATGTTTTTTCAGCTATTTAATGTCTCTCATCCACACCAAGCCATTTGACAACCAGACCCACCATGCCTACACATGCCATCTGGGCAAATGTTTCTAGAGTCAAATAAACATATCCCATTAACGAGCTGAAGTCCTAAAGGGCTGGCAGGGGACTAATCAGCTTATCCAGGAAGATTATCACCTTACGCAAAGACCCAGCTGCTGCCATCATAACTTGCTTTCTGGTATTTACAACTTTCAGTGTGCAGGTGTTGCATGACATTCACTTTTATACTTGCTGAAAGACATTAGATGAGGGGAGGGCTGTGTAAAGTAATCTAACACTCAAAAACTCCTAATATTTAGTTCTCATATTCGGCCTTCTCTTCTTTTCTTGGAAAGCCGACATACTAAGAACGATCTGAATAGTCCAGCGTGTGTAATTCTTACATGGTGCTTAAATACCCTCTAAGGAGGCATTCTAGTTACTGTACTACATGAAGTATCTTTCTCTGACACACACAAACATGCTCTTCCTCTATAACTCTTTCTGCGTCATCATTCAGTGCATTCAAACTGCTGTCTTGGGCATGCACCGTACAGCAAGAATGCAACAAGTATGTGATGAACGGCAGGTTTACGAGACACTCCTGCACTTCAGCAACAATGAATCACTTCACACACTTCCACACCAGAGAATCAGTGTCACATATTTTCTGGTTTTTACATCTCTCTGAATTTGAAGGATCAAGTTCTGTTATTAAAACACTTTTTTTTTTTTTGCTTATGTTTTAAGCCAGTGTCAATTGGACATTGAAGTGGTTTGTAATGACCGGCAAGAAGCAAATAAAGGTCTTTAAGTGGCAGTGTAATGACGAGACTTTCAGCCAAATCGCTTTGTATTTAGGCCTCTGATATTACATATTTGGCTAAATATGCTTACATCTCAGCAGCTGCTTCCTTGTCTAAATATGAAGCCAAGTTTTTGGAGTTATTCAAAAATCCCCTATTGCTGTTGCTGCAGCTCTTCCATGTGAGCACAGTTTTTTATTGCCATCTCTTTCTGTAAAATATAACCTGTAATTAATTTTACTGATGCCATCACCGCAGAGTTATGAAACTCTTTCACAATGCATGCCATGCTTTTTACACTGGCACCCACATATACACGCACAGATTAATCTGGTGAGAAATTGTGTGATTAATTACCCTGAAACCACAACTTGCTTGCTGAACAAATTATTTAAGAAGTTAGGCATGCATCGGAAAGCCTGAGATGCCATTGAAATATTCTAAACAATTCAAGGAGGTTGCAACAGGCTTGTTAACTCTCATTCTTCCCAAAACAATTATTGCCTTGGCCACTACACTAGTTTGAAAAGAGAGAAATGGAAACATAAAGATCAACATAGTGCTCTGTCTACAGTAAACTTGATGATTCTTGAAGATATTATATTTTTGATATATATGCTGATATCATGATTGATGTCTATTTTTTTTAAGCTGCAGAGTTCAACTACCTTTTAAGGTTGTTTGCAGAGTCAAAAGCGTCGGGTTAGCAAGTTAATCTCTCGAGGTTTTACGACACCCTCTGAGTCAAAGCATGCCACATCATTGTATTACAACTTTTTTTTTTAAAAAAAATAATATTTTATTAGGTTTAAAAAGAGCGCTTTGGGTCACCTTCCGGAGTTCATGTTCTTCTCTCAAAGTTGTTTATCAGTCGTCATAAATCTAAAAGGTGAACCTCTTGTCTGAGGTGCTGCAGGTCTGTAGTTAAAGGGTCGTTTTAGGCCTGGTGGTACAGCTGAGCACAACACCTGGAATCCCTCAGCAACACCAATGAGCTCTGATGAAAAACAAATGTCAGCGCCTCCCCTCCGTCCCTTCTGTAAGGCCTGCAGCAGGACCGGGCTGTGTTTATCCTGGCCGAGATGAACCTTTGGCTACTGCCAGATCAAACTGCCAGCACACTGACTCCTGACCCATATTGTGAGGGTCAGGAAAGTTCAGGAGGTTTTGTGATTACTATCAATAATACATCTACTGGTTCTGGTACTACCATAAATAATATTAATAGTGATTAATTAAGATTTATTAATGTAGTGTAATAATATATATTTTAAAACTAATACAAATACCATTTCTTTTAAAATAAAATATAGGTTAATAAAAGAAAAAAAAACTAAAACCAGTTGGGTTGAGTTGTTGCCAGGTTATCTAAATGTAGAATAGTTTATAATTATTTATAAGTATTAAGTATTTAAGTCACTGAGTTTATATTACTATGAAGGATACGTTAACTAGCATTAGTTATCCTTAGTTTCATTCAAATTATAAAATACTTTTTCTAAACTATGTAAATATATCCCTGTGTTGTGTCGTTCTGTTTATGTTGAGACTGATGATTTTGAACGTCGATAAGTGTTGTTCGGCCAACTGCAATGACTCACTAAACCGTACTGGCAATTTTAGCTGCCAGAAATTAGACGCCCCCATCTGTCTGCTTTGAGAGTAAAGCTCCCGTTTATATACTGGCGTTAGGGATAGCAGACCTCTGAGACCTGTTAAGATTCATTCATTGAGCAACTTCCAACCTGACTCAGTTTATATATATTCATTTATTTATTTATTTATTTATTTTCCTACTTCACTTAAAGCAGCCAAATATCCCCTGTCTGTTCCCACAGCTCAATGAATGGATAAACACGCAGACGCAAGAGACGACAAAGTTATTACCTACCCTGGAGACAGTTAACGGGGTGCTGAAATCCCGTCCTCCAACCAGCCGAAAACCCCACGGTGAGGGTCCCTTCAGTGTCACGGTCTGGGTCATGATTGCCAAAAAGACTGTGAGAGGATATCAGATAAATGACAGGCAGGCTGAGAAGGGGAAGTGTCCGTGGTTCCTCGATATACGGATGAAAACAGGGAACGTGAACTAACCACAGTCCTATGCCTAGCTGCTAGGCAACGCTGCCCCGGCTCTGAAAACTTTCCTCCTCGCTTGATTCAGGTTTAAATAACAAAGCCGCTTCTGACGTAGGACGACGGGCTGCCGTGCCCGCCTTCGCCCGGTCCATAGTAGAGAGAGTGGGAGGGGACGATGCTGGGTGTCGTGGCTGCTGCGTGTGGAGACTTCCAGTGGTGATATGTCACACAAGAGGCAGTGTTTGTGCAAATGTTAATGGAGTGAATATAGTGTGCATGCCATTATCAGCTAAATGTATTTGACTTGTCATTCATTCATTTCTACTCCCTCTACCTCAATGAAAGTAACAAAAGGTAAGTCTTTATTCATCTGCCACTTTCTGTTCTCAACTGCTTCTTTAGTAGGGACTCTTTTCCATTTGTATGAGTTACAGTTATACATGCCATTCTTAGTACACTAGTTTAAGGCATAATTTGTTGGACAAAGACACAATTTGTATTGCCTCTGTATCCCACCACAGAGGATTTTAAATCAGTCGATATGTGTGCAGACTTTCAGCTTCAAGTTAGGGGGTTTAACAAACATTTTCCACTAACTGTTTAGGAATTACAGCCATTTTTATACACAGGCTCCAATTGTCAGATTAACTGAACAAACAAATTAACTGAACAAACTAACGTCATTTTTAATTTGAGGATTGTTTTTCATTCTTAGTTTCAGTTTCTTCATTTGCAGTCTTTGCGTTGTGACTACCTGAATCCTACAACCTACCAAGGCTTTACTGTTTCTTTTACTTGTTTGTGGGTCTCTCAGCATTCAGTTTTGGAAACTAAAAGCATGCTCTGCTGAGTTGAGATCAGGTGACTGACTTGACCATTGAAGAATATCCCATTTCTTTGCCTTGAGAAACTTTTGGGTTGCGTTTACTTTCCGTCATTATCCTTTAACACTGTGAAGCATCGGCTGATCAGTCGTGCAGCATGTGGCTGAATCTGAGTGGGGAGGAAAGCCATGTGCACTTCACAGTTCATCCTACTAATTTCACTGCTATCAATAGTGGAATCATAAGTAAACACTAGTGGCCCGGGTCCACTGGCAGCCTTACATGCGCATGCCCGTAACATTGTCTCCACCATGTTTGGCAGACTGTTTCTGTCCTCCAAACTTTTATATCAGTCTGGTACAAGGTCTGGGCTTCATTTACACAAAGAGAGAGACTGTGCACTCTTTCAGATGTTTTCTGGCTTGGTCTAATCTGGTGTTGTTATTCTTGAGTGTAAACAGTGGTTTCTACCTCGTTGTAAACTCTCTGTATTTACATTTACGAGGGCGTCTCATGATTGTTCACCTTGACCATAATTCGCCTACCTCCTCGACTTCACTTAGTTAGATGTTATGAAGTTGTTTTTCTTAACCACTTGAATAGGATTATGCACTTTGGTTGTCTTCTGTGGCCTTTCAGGGCTTTTGGTGTTACTGAGCTGGTCACCGCAATCATTCTTTTTACAAATATACCATATTTCATTTGACCACTCCTAAATATTTTGCTGTTTCTCTGATAGGTTGACTTTGTAATATTTTAATGGCCTCCCTAATTTGCATCGACATCACTTGAAATTAAAAGCTATAAAATACAAATTCAGCAGTTTGAATAAACTTCAGATATTATGTCTTCTTCATTTGCCATTGAAATAAAAAGGGATTGAGCCTCACCTGGCCGTGCTGTCATGCAGTAAGTCAATTGTCCAATTCATTTTAAGCCCCTTAAAAGGACACTGTGTGTGCAAAAATGTCTGTAATTCCTTAACAATTAAAGGACTTTTTAAAAAATAAAACCCCTCGAATTCAAGCTGAAAGTCTGCTCTTTGATCACATATAGACATCTTTGATTTAAAATCTTCTGTGTTGGTTCACAGAGACACAAACAAACAAAAATGTATCTTTGTCCAACAAATTATAGTTATAACTGTACCAAGCTTTAACGTTAGAATTGCTCTAAGTAATTGCTACTGTAACTGATTTGCTTTTTCATGCATATAATCTTTCAGTTACTTTGAACATAAAAAGGTGCTTAAAAATACACAATAACCAAGTCAGTCTAGAAGCTCTGTCTAAAATGTCTAAACCTGTGAGAAGCTGTCTATTAGGATACGCTTGAGCTTAACATATCAGAGTGTTACTATAATTTTCACAGTTTTTAAAAACCAAATTTTTAACAGGTAACATGTTGACCAAAATATTGGATAGACTGATGTTTGGATCTGATGCCAAGGAAAAGATTTTTAAGATAATCCATCCAAGAGCTGTTTGATTTGATATGGTTGAGGTAGGCATCTGTTGATATTTGCTGGCAAACAAAACATAGCTTTTGGGGAAGTTCACAAAATATCCTTGCCTTTAGGTCATTGAAGGATAATCTGTGCGTGCACCTAAAACTAAGGCCAGCCAATAACTTTCATATCTGGGTCCTCCAAAAAATTCTGTATAGCCTGAGTGTCATAGAGTAGCAAAAAAAGAGTTATGCTGTAACTTGAATGCCTCACTAGTGGAAAAGATCTCTCCCATCTGTCAATGGATATACTAGTATCCTCTCTGCCCCACTTTCTGATTCATTCATGTCCCCAGCCAATTACAAAGTGAGTCACTGAGCTAGACTATGATTTTTCTGCTGTAGAGGGGATGATCTCATAGACATTCCTGGGAATGTGTGTTTTAGACAACTGTAGACATGTGGAGCTCTGTTTGAAAATCTGAGTCACCTTGAATCAGACACCAGGCTATCCTGGTTACTGTGTAACAAAGTGGCACTGATGTCAGCACAAATGCAGCTCAGCATCAGGTATTTTGTGACTGTTTCTGCAAGCCTGTGTAAACTTTGCACAATGAGCTGCCGTGATGTAACAGAGTTGTGAAAACCAGAACGTATGCAGATCGTAATGATGCAAGGTGTGTGATTGTTTTAACAAGAGAGAACAGGAGAACGCGTGAGAGCCAGGCGACTCCCCGCAGGAACGTTAAAGACACATGAATTCATTGGACTTCCTTGAGAAAAAGAAGGCATTTTGATTGATTGCTATTATGTTTCACAGAACATTTGAATATATTATTCTATTGAGATTTAAAGAATTATTTAAGAAACTTTTGAGCATAACTAACATGCAAATTATTTAAGGCCAAACATCTTAGTCAAAATTCAAAATAATTACTTCATTATTGAGTCCCGTCAGACATTTGTCCCACACACAATTTCCTACAATAATGTCTGACATTCTCAGGAGAGGCACAGATCTAAGGTCACAGTGACCTAGTGACTGTATAACATATGGATTTTTGAGTTAAATCTATAAACACATTTTGTGAACCTTTACTTTTAGTTACAGTTAACTGATAAATAAATAATTTAAACATGTGAAAACTGTCTGGATTTTGTCAACGTGGGAAAAAAAAATTTAAATACAGGAAATAGTTTTACTATTTGGTAATTTGGTAAAAATGTATCATCTAAAATTGCCTGATGAGGCTTTGTTCACATGTTTACTGAGAGTTTGGATGTCTATAAGTCTGCGAGTCAGCTGCTCTCAAGAACTTCTGTGTTTTTAATGGAGTATTTATACTGATTTTCCTAAATCTTGCATCTGGCATATCCCCCAAATACAGTGAAACTTCAAAAGTTTTAAACTCAGACTGAAACAAATTAAAAAGGAAACTAAAAGTAAAAAGTAAAAGTAGAAACAAAAAGTCAGAATGAGTCAAAACAAAACCTAATTACAAAATACTGCTTTTAACAAAATTCTGACCAGTTCATTCCTGAATCCAGGCGGATATTAGAGCCAGACAGTATTTCCTGCAGACAGATTCAAAAGACAAGAGCAGATATGAGATCATAATAACCTTCTGCTTCTTTATTATAATGATCGGAGAGAATTTTGTCATACTAGCACATGAATTTTTGAGTTAAGGCCACAGTGTGTTTTGTGAAGTGATAACAACCTTGAATTTTGACCCTTGAACCACCGAGTTTGAATCAGTTCATCCATCATTTTATGGCAAATCTGAATCAAGGTATTCCCAAAATATTGTACTCATTGGTTTCACAAAAAAAATCAAACCATGTATTGGTGATAGCCATTCATGGTTATCACCAATACATGTCCATACATTTGTAAACAGAGTACTGATGTTCGGAAATGTTTGACCAAACAGCATTCACAGACTGCTCTTTACTTGCTATCAAGGGCACATCAAAGGATGACTAACCAAAAACCAAGAAAGGCCGAGACAGCTGTAGATTTATTGAGCAAATCAGCAGGCTGACATCTTCTTCAAAGCCCGTCTGCAGTAAATGTGAGTCAAACTACAATGAGCTGCCATCTCTCTGTTCTTTCCTCCCTGGATGGTCATCATTTTGACGTACCCACTGCAGAGTCAAAGAAGCCTTTTCAAATCACTGCAAACTATTTACTCTCTTATTTTCTTTACAAAGCTAAGAAGTACCTGAGGGGAAGCAGGTAAGACGAGCAGTGATGCAATCATGAGCTGTTTTCCTCCACCTGTTTTTTTTCTCTGCAGTCTGGGAGAAGTTTGTCATCTGTGCTATTACACAATCACACAGCTCCTTCATTATTAATAGTTAGAGCATAATAATTATGATTATTATCAGAAAATATCTGCAGATGTCCAGTAAATATGTTCTTCTGAAGTGATAAATACATCTAGTAAACAAGGGTTTTTTTGCCCTAGGTGTTGTTATTCTTATCATTGTTGTTTTTTTAACAGAACACATCTTAGAATGTTTTCACTGGTTTGAATGTCCAAAGAAAATAACTCTGTGAATTGTCTTTAAACTTTAAAACACAACAAAACCAGAGGTTGGATTAATGATATCTGATATTATGTCCTCAACTAGCAGCTATTATAATAACTCAATCTAAGATCTGACTTTAAGTAATGTGAGACAAGTCATGCATAAGACA